TTAGATGACATACAAACAACGAGGGGATATCCACTATAGGGATGAAAATCCTCATCCAAGTGAATATGCTTATATGATAGTATATCCGAAATATCTAGTACAAGAAAAGATTCAGAGACAAGAAAGATAAACCACATGAAAAAAAATCACCTTCATATCGGTAAAAGAAATAAAAGGCATGAGGCTTCTTGAAATTCGAAACTCTCATACCACCCTAAAATAGAAGAAATAAGTTGAGCGGCTCCTACAATTTAATTTGTATTTTCACCGCTATGAATGAGTCTCCACCAAATAAATAAATAGTTGTAAAATATTGCTATGCGTCTAGTCAATTCAGGACTTAGATTTTTTACATCAATGACATTAGAAGTTTTTGGCCATGCCTGATACTCACTTGGTTTCAACATACTATATGATTAAACTAATTCTTTAAAATCCTACAACATTATATATTATGTCCCAAAATGCTAGCAAATAACAATATCGCCAGACTGAAAATTAGCTCGCTCCTGTCCATTTTCTAGCATACATAAGTTACGAAGAGGTGTCTAAATAATACGCTTTATGACTGAGTATACATATTTCAATCTGTTGCTGAGAGAATAACCTCCTTCCATAGCCAAACCCCATCCAGCCATCCTACCCTATGACATGAGACCTTATCCACAATTCTATGGACCTCCTAATTAAGCCGGAGAGAGAGAGAGAGAGAGAGAGGAGGCTCTCTGGAACGCTAATCTTAGAGAAAAAATAAAAATCAGTAATTCACAAGAGACCAATTGTTATTAAGTATATACTTGAATACTTCGATTATTGCCACCGTTCACAAACAGAGACATATATTTTTTTTTTAGAAATAGACATCCTTTTTGGAAGCATGCATTTAGTCAAATTAACCTCGAAATATAAGATCACCAATATATAATTGTTTAAAGATGATATATAAAAATGGTATTAGCATACTTGTAAATAAACATTCTTTTAGTTATATTTTTAGTGCTTATTACAAACGTATGATTAGAAAGGACAATATGATAATATATACACTTGTATTAGAGACTGTTAATATCCATTTAATGGCTAGCACAGCATGCATAACTAGGTACTTGATGGCCACCGAGAGACCACAAGATGCACGATATCAACATCAAAGGAGAATCCGGCAATATGTTCGATACAGTTCATCTGGCCCAGATTAGGTTCCAGGAGATAAATCATTTCACCTTAATTAGGTGCATAGTGGGGGCTGTTCCATTGATCCATCCACATATATGGTCCTTGCAGCCAGGTCACCATGCCACATGGGCCAGCACAATGATAGTCCGATTGATCAGATCGGAGTTAACATCAGATAATTCGCTAACTGAACTTTTTCTAACAGGACATATCTACTGATGCGTCTGTTATGAAAATAGATGCACAACGGAGACACGAATTTTTACGTGGAAAACCCTTGCGGAAAAAAACCACGAGCGCCGACCGGCAATAATCACTATAGAGGAATTGGATAGCAGGGGATACATTGGGCTGTCGCACCCTCCCCGTGCGGCTTACAAGGGATATATATAGGAGAAATCTAGGAGTCCTAATAGGAAACTAATCCTATAAAGTAGAGTCCTATTAGATAACTAATCCGAATATATTGTGGGCCCAAAATTCGGATCACATATTTAACAATCTCCACCTTGAGACGAATTTCCCTTGTAGCATAAAAATCTTCAACCTCTGAACAACCTCATGATGATAAAATCAATGTGCGCCAAATAATCACTTGGACTATAATCCATAACACCCTTAATCCAGAAGAGGTAGACCATACTTCAAACTCGCCATTGGGAACAATTCCTGAATCTGCTGGTATAACATTGTGGAACCCAGCAGATACGCAAAACTGATGCACAAACTTCAATCTCGCCATGGGAATAAAATCCTAAATCTGCTGGCATTAATTTCTAGAATTCAAACAGAAACGCGAAAATTTCTTGTGCACAAAATGAAGTACTTAGATCCCCTGATAACCTCCTGGTATGTTGGGTATAATGGTAGCAAAATTCGCCGGACAATTTGATCACCTTGTAATCTAGACAGGAGCGAGGCTCCCTCTTGACGACTTGAATGTACTTTTTTTTAATCTCAGGTGCACGACTTATCCTCCTTGAAACATGCGCCAACTTGCATCTTCACTTGCCATAACGAGATTGCATCTCAATCCAGGAGCGGTAGATCAAACTTCTAACTCGCCTTGGGAATAAAATCCTGAATCTGCTGGTATAATTTGTCAAACCCTAACAGAAACGCGAAACACTCTAGGTGCATAAAACGAAGTTGATCTCCGTGCAGAACCTCCTGGTAGACTGGCTTGTGAATATAGCACAAAATTGAACCTGAATCTGATTCACCCAAACAGAACCGAAGCACCGCAATTGAATTGAATCCCTGGTACGAAGGGGCATGTGCACGTAGCACAAAACCAACGTGAAATTCAATTCACATGAACAATAACAAGGCTGAGTGCATCTGCTGATTTTTCTTTCCTTGATCAACGTGCTGGAGTAGATGGATTGCTGCTTTTTCTCCAACACGCTGCACGGCGGCACCAAATCCTGATCGGAGTCAACGGCTGACTCCGCTTCGTACCGGTTAATCTTATCTCGGCAAACAAATCAATCTGACAGCAGTGATAGATAGAACAACGCGACGACACACGCCTGCTACTGCCGATCAAATCTTGCGACGAGCGTACCGGCAGCGTACCGGCGGCTAAAACTTGCAGATGGGATCTCCAAGCAGACGAACTCGTCGGCAGCCGAGATGTTAGTAGATCGATCTCCAATGCTCTGGTACCACTTGTTATAAAAATAGATGCACAATGGAGACACAAATTTTTATGTGAAAAACTCTTGCGGGAAAAAACCATGAGCGCTGACCGGCAATGATTACTATAGAGGAATTGGATACAAACGCAGGGGATACTTGGGCTGTCGCGCCCTCTCCGTGCGGCTTATAAGGGATATATATGAGAAATCTAGGAGTTCTAATAGGATACTAATCCTATAAAGTAGAGTCCTATTAGATAACTAATCCGAATATATTGTGGGCCCAAAATTCAGATCACATATTTAACAGCGTCTTTAATTAGTTAACAATCTGACGATCAGTCATGGTTTGCTTCCTTGATATGGCTGGTTTTATGCGGATCCGGTTCCGTTGCGGTTGGTGGTGTGACTGTAACTTAAGCTGTCATACTGTCGCTATTTGATCTGACTTTAAGAGATAGGATCATCTAAACACTGTTATCTAGAGAAAAATATTTAGTTTTACTATGTAGGAGTTAAGTAGCTGTAAATCTGAACTCTTCGTAAAGAAATGGACGGAGATGAGATTAGTGCAGGTCTAGGGATGACTGCACCTGATATCAATCGGTTCTATGCCGTGACTGCCGTCGCCTGCGGTCGTCTCTGCGGCTTCCTGCTTGCATGCTTTCAGACTGCAGTACCGATCAATCGTTGTGCAACAGTCTATCCATCTGTATAGAATCAAAACACAATTCAGAGCCCTATAAGAGAGAACGGTGGGCTTGCTATTAGTAGAGGGAATAAGTTAATTTAAGGTCCCTTAACTTGACAGCGAGTTTGATTTTCGTTCTTGAACCGCAATACCAAATACTACAGGTCCCTCAACTATCAAAACCGTTCAGATGAGATCCCTCGGTAGTTTAGATGTCGGTTTTGGCTGACGTGGCGCTTTCCTACATGGCAGTGACGTGGCACTGAAAGCAAAATTTTAAAATTTAAAAGATTTTAAAAGAATGTGGGACCACATACCAGTCGGAAAAAACAGTGGGACTCTTCTCTATCTCCACGGCGAGTCAGCGCCTCCTCTCTCCCTCATGTCAGCGGCGGACGGCGGGGCTAGGGCGGCGCTCGGCCCTCCGCTTCTCCGGCCAGGGCGGCGCTCGCCCCTTCGCTTCTCGCGCGCGACGGGGCCAGGGACGGCGATGTTGTGGCGGTCAGTAGGGCCAAGAGCGGCGCCATCCTCTTTAGCCTCCTACCTCAATGACCTCGCGGCGGCAGCCGTTGGGGAACCGAGAAGACGGCAGGCACCGTCGCGTTCCAGTGGGATGGCCGGCGAGGAGGGGGCCGCGGCGGTCCGTAGCGGCGAGTGGCGGTTGCGGTGGAAGTTGCCAATGAGGACATGACGACAGTGGCTTGGGATGGAAGAAAGCGGCGGTTTCTTAGCAGCGATGACGAGATAGCAGTGGCGGCGTGCAAAGTCGCGGCCGTCAGCAGGCAAAACCACAATGTCGGTGCGTAGTCCATTTAGTCGTATGATGCCGGCAAGTCGACGCCATCAGTGACGATGACCTTAGCCGCATCAAGGCTGTGGACGTAACCGTGCCAGGCAGCGCCGCGCTCACCGGCGGATCCCTTCCCAGCGGCTGCAGGGACCACGGCTACACGCCCCGCCTCGGCCGTCATCTACTCCGGCCGCCCTGTGCCGCCTAGGTGAGAGAGAGAGGATAGAGAGAAGAGGGATGACATGTTATTTTGTGTGTGACTGACATGTGGGCCCCACAGGTTTTATTATATTTCCGGATAGCATTGCCACGTAAGAGCCACGTGGGACAAAGACCTAGTCAAAAGGATCCACAGAGGCGTCATGTCAGCCAAAACCATCATCTAAACCACCGAGGGATCTCGTCTGAACTGGTTTTGATAGTTGAGGGACCTGTTGTATCTGGTATTGCGGTTTAGGGACGAAAATCGAACTCGCTGTCAAGTTAAGGGACCTCAAATGAACTTATTCCTTAGTAGAGATACCTGCATATGGGCCGAAAGGGTCATAATTCATAAATCCACTACAACAATGTGTCTGTACGGTTTTCAATTGCTATTTCTCTTCTATCGTCATGTGGTCAAACTGTATGAAAATTGCAAAATATGGTCCAAAATATGCCGTTTGGGGCATCTGAACATGGTATTCTCTTTCCTTCACTTGACTTTGATAGTAAAAAGCTTTTTTTCATTACTACTCACATAGATATCTTCTCGAGAGTTTAGAATCATTTCCTTACATAGATGTACATGAATTTACGAAGATACAACAAACATCCAATATGAACGGATAAATTTTACATCCAATCACTTGACACCAATAGTAGTTGTAGACCTGTAGTATTGATCCGAAGATCTGCTACAATTTGCCAATATGTACTAGATCTTCATGCTCCCCTGCTTTTTCTGAAGCCTGGCCTTCCGTTCTCGCGACAGCATCTCGGCGAAAAGCACCAGCTCCTCCTCGTTACTTTTCCGGTTCATGTCCGGCTCGTTCTTGCCGGTCTCGAGGTCGACCTTGCACGCCTGCTTCTTGAGCAGCGCCTTGCCGACGCCGACGAGCCTCTGGAGGTTCTCCGGCGTGGAGACGTCGACGGACGCCGCGTCGCCGGTGAGCTCGTCGTCCTGGATGCGGAGGTAGCGCTTCTCGCAGTGCAGCGCCTGGAAGAGCACGGATGCGTGGATGTCGACGAGGTCGGCGCTGGCCTGGCTGAAGCTGTCGATCAGCGGCGTCGCGCCCTTGTTGAACAGCCAGCCGAGGACGCCCCACCGGCCGCTCTCGACGGCGTCGAACTTCTTCTCGATCTTGGCCGAGCCGGTGCCCAGCGACAGGATCATGAACTTGCCGTAGTCCGCCGGCTTGATCGGGAAGAAGTCCTGGCAGCCCAGCAGGATCTGCTTGGTTACGTGTGTCATCGCCAGCAGCGTCTGCATGTGTTGTTGGTCAGGTGTCAAACATCGCACAGTGTACATGAGAGCAACACAAGTCATTTCCGTGCCATATTTAAGGAAGTTTAGGTCGACAAGTTTCACAAGCTAATTTGATATGACGGGGCTGTTCAGATTGTAGCTAAAATAAACCTTAGCAAATTTTGGTATGCTAAAATTTTGGCAAAATGACAATATTGCCAAAATTTTGGCAGGATTTCTTATGTATTTACCAAATTTGACAACAAACTAAACGTGAATATTTTTTTGTCAACTTTACTCAAAAAATGGTATGGTTGAAAATGGCATCAAAGTGAATAGACCCGACGATTTCTGTTTTTCTTAATTTGACAAGTAATTAAATTCAGTAGGGATGTGGATTTTCATCCCTCGAGGGACATTCTCTCGTTATTTGAATGTTATCTAAATAGTTATAAAAAAATAAAAAAAAATTTGTCAACATAGATTAATATGAAATATATCACTCCACAAACATGCAAGACCAAATTTAATTTCTACAAGTTGCAACAAAAATAACAAATTAAACTGAAAATAGTTATCGGACATTCGTAACTATATTTGTTATTTTTGTTACAACTTATAAAAGTTGAATTTAAAATTACATGTTTGTGGAGTGATATATTTTATATTTGAATTTAAACGTGTGTCGATGTGTCATCGCCAGCAGCGTCTGCACGTGTTGGTCCAGTGTCAAACGTCGCAAAGTGTACATGAGAGCAACACAAGTCATTTCTGTGCCATATTTAAGGAAGTTTAGGTTGACAAGTTTCACAAAGCTAACTTGGTATGACGATTTCTGTTTTCTTAATTTGATAGGTACTGTATTAATTAAATTCAGTAGTAGTCCACCAAGTCTGGACGACTGGATTGTGTATTCCACAAGCACGGCTACTCACCGGATTGTTCGCGGCGAAGCCGCCGTCGACGAGGTTAAATTCCCGGGGCTTGCCGTCCTTGTCCGTCGTCTCGAAGCGGTGGCCGGGGAGGTACGTCGGCGCCGCCGACGTGCTGATGCACACGTCCGACAGAAGCGCGTTCTTGGACACGTCCTTGCGAGCCTGCACATGCGTGCAAAGACACGAAACAATTTTAGGACATGTACAATTGCAACAAGTTTGTCAGAGTTATATACATAGAGATCTTCGTGACATACGTTGTAGGTCGAGAAGATTGTTGGCTGGAGGAGCTTGATGTCGAAGGTCGGGACGACGATGTTGGTGATGGTGCTGTCGACGCGCTTGTCGCCGAGCAGCTGCTGCACGACGGAGTGGAGGTGCCGGCCGTCGTACTTGGGCCCCGTCATGCTCTTGAACAGACCGAGAGGCCCCTTGCTGACGGGAGGGAAGATCCTGGGGCAGTGCTCGAGGTAGAAGTCGTTGATGTCCCTGGCGGCGAACAGCGGGTCGCCGTTGTCGTTAGGCGCGGTGAGCATGGCGGTCACCAGCCCGCCGGTGCTCGTCCCGGCGATCACGTCGAAGTAGTTGGCGAGCCGAGCCTCGGGGCCGTCCAGCTCCTGCAGTTTCTCCTCCAGGAACGCGAGGATGGTGCCCGGGATGATGCCGCGCACGCCGCCGCCGTCGATGCTCAGCACGGTGACGATGCTCCCGTACGACGGCGGCGGCGACCGCGGCGTGGACGGCGACAGCAGCGACTTGCCGCGGCTCAGCACGCGCTGCACCACCGGGTTCAACGTCAGTGACCCGTTGCTCTGCTCCGGTGTCTGCACGGGCGCCATGGGAAACACTAGACTGTGCTAAACAAAACACCGGGAGATTTTGTGTGTGTGTGTGTGTGTTTCTGCTTCGCTGATAGCGTCGTCTAGCTCGTGTTTGTGCTTGGCTCTATCGTTGATCTCGATGTGAGTTCGCTGCAGTGCACGGGCGATGAATTTATACGCGAGGACGCCATCGTTTCCAACATGAGAAGGTCTCGCGGTCTCGCCTTTGCTGGCTGCTTCGATCATCGGAAGCATCGCGCGTGCGTTCGTTCGTGCAGGTGATTGCATTTTGGACGAGTCAGTGGTGCGATGGAGTTTTGAACCAGTTGGTCGCACCAGCCCAGACACGAGACAGTCACAGGTTACCCGTGCATGCACGGGTTCGATCGATCGCGTACCGGCAAAGAGAGATATGATCGATGTTGGACATATCATACTACTATAGGAGTATGTCGGAGTACATCTTGGACGCAGTCTAGCTAGCTGGTCTTTCATCTTTGGCACGTGAGACCGTGACCCGGTTGGTCCACTGGACAGGCGAGACAATGTTGCCCCAGTCAGCTGTAGGAGCGTGTACTATAGTAGCGTGCCGTACACTATGGTTGTATGGTCTCTGGATAAAAATAAATAAATATATAGGAAGATATATAATGTAGGAAGATGATATGGTTTCAGCTGTTTACCCGTTCATGATAGATTCTTGTTGAAGCTGCGCGCCCGCGTACGTGTACCAAGATATATAATATTTTTTTGTTGGAAAAAGACCATACGATTAGTTTGGTTCAATCTTGACGGCAATAGCGCCTTCATCATCTTCAAAGTTCGTCATTGAGAAAATTCCTTTAGTTCTCATCAGTTTTCGCTCAAATTTTTATGCGTTTGAATTTCCTATCATTTCCATCACGCCCTTGAGTTTTGTCATATTTCACTACTGGAGAAGTGATCTGTAGCGCCCGTTCCGTCGTGGCGCATAGCGGGAAAATTATCTCTTAAAAACCCTAATTGCGAAATTTGTTTCTTTGCTTGTTGTCTAGTGTCCATGCCATCTCAAGATCTCAATCCCCGATCTATCGTCGAGTTCAAATCCGAATCCAAATCCTTCCAAATCAAATTCCTCCGCAAAAGTCTATTTTGCCTCCCCCGGGGGTCGATGGGCCGATCTCCCCCGGCCCATCTCCCCCTCTCCCCCGGCCCATCTTCCCCTCTCCCCTCTCCCCCGGCGCGCTCCCGCTCTCTCTCCCTCTCTCTCGCTCTCTCTCGCCCCCTCCCCTTCCCGGCGCGCTCCCTCTCCCCTCTCCCTCAGCTCCGCTCCGCTCCGCCCGCGCGCCGCGCGCGCGTGCGCGGGAGCCGCGCCGAGCGCTCCTCCTCCTCCGCTCTGTCCGCGCGCGTGCGCGTGAGTCACCGCGCCAAGCGCCTCCTCCCCTCGCAAAGCCGGCCCCCGCGCGCTGTTGTTCGCGCGTGCGCCCGCGTGGTCCTCGCCCGCACCGCGTGGTCGCTGCCCGGCCCCGCTGCCCTGCCGCGCCTGCAGCCGCTCGGCCCCGCAGCCAGCGCGTGTGCCGAGCCGCGCCCTCCTGTTGCGAGCCGCGCGCGCGTGCCGAGTGGCCGACCGCCTGGTCGCCGCCGTCGTCAGCGCCTGCCGCGCCTGTCGCTCGTGTCGTCGCGCCGCTCCAAACCGCCCCGCCGTCATTGCCGTCGTCACCGCCCGGCCCCCGCCACTCCGCGCGCAAGCCGCCAAGGGACGGAGGCAGCGCCCCTCCTCCCTCTGCCGCGTCGCCCCCGCTCCCCTCCTCCTTTTTCCCGAATCGGCAAAAGGGCAAGCCCCTTTCTCCCCCTCCTTTTTCCCCTTTTTCCCCGCCGGCGTCATCCTCCCTGTCGCCGCTTTGGCCGCGACCGCCGAGCGCCAGCTCGCGCCTTGACCGCCCTAAGTCGGTTCCCAAACCGACATTGCCGCCCCCTTTAAACCTCAGCTCCTTCCCCTCCAATCTCCCTCGTTTTCGCCTCCTCGCCATAGCTGCCGCCCCTGTGCTCTGTTCGCCGTCACCGTTCGTTGTTGCGCGTGTCGAAGGAGTCGGCACGAGCAAGGACGCGGAAGGGGACTTCGGCCGCACCCTCTCCTTCCTCTTCCCCGGCCCGAGGCCGGAGAGATTACTCCCGCGCCGTCGGCCTCTCGTCACAGCGCCCCTCCTCATCTCGGTGATGCCTCCCTCCGTTCTTCCTCCTCGCTCCATCTCCTCCCCCTAGCTTTCGGTAGTAGCTCGAGTAGACTCCCCGTAGTTAGCCGGCGCCGCCCCGACCGTTGCCGTCGCTCACCGTGTGCTCGCCGCCGTCGCCGCTCGAGCTCCGTAGCACCCACACGTCGCCAGCCTCGCTCGGCGTAGCTCCGTCCAATCCGACGCTAGCATCGAGTTCCCGAAACCGCGTAGATGCTCTCACCGCCGGGAATCGGTCCCTCGTGACCTCGTCGGCGTTTCCCTCTTCCCTCCCCACCGGTTGTCGCCGCCGCGATTCGCCGCCGTCGAACTCCCTCTGGCGAATCCGAGCCGTTGGCTCGTCTCCCCTCATCACGAACAACCGCCCGGTGTGCTAGCTTTTGCCCGTATCGCCGTGGTTCGCTCCGCCGCTCGCCGCCGCCGCCCACCGTCCATTCGCGGCCGGGTCGTCGTCTACCTCCTGCCGGCCCGCGTGGCAGCCACGTAGGCGCCACGTCGGCGCCAGCTCAGCCTAGACCGGGTCGAGCCAACCCCGGTCAGTCCCTCCCCGTGCGCGCGTTCCACCGCGAGCCGTGAGGCTGCGCGTGGGCCCGCTGCATCCGCGTCCACCGCGAACCGCGCGCGTGCACCGCGTCCCTCCTCCGCCCGCGCGCATGAGCCGCGTACTCCCTCCGCATGGTGAGCTGAGCCGCTGACAAGCGGGTCCCACCCGGGACCGCGCATGGTGAGCCCGGTCCACCGGCTCTCTCTCTCCTCCCTCCCGCGCGCGCGCGTCTTGGGCCGCTCTGGGCCACCTTCCTGGGCCGGCCGGCCCGTTAAGCTCGGCCGAGCCGCCCTTTCTCTCGGGCCGCGCCCTAGCCGCCCGAGGGAAGTCTATATTCCCTCCCTCTCCCCTTTTCTTTTCTTTTCTTTTCCAAAAAAAAAGGATTTAATTAAATCCTTTTCCTTTAGACCAAAAATCCAATAATCTTAGAAATTCAATATCTTTCCAGCCGTAAATCCGTTTGACTCCGTTCAAATTCCAAAATTTCTCAAATCTCGAGATCTATCTAATGGCACGCTTAGAGGTCATTAATAGGGCTTTATTTTCGCCGTTTATTGAGTTGTCCCGTTTTGCGTGTAGTTTCGGAGCCCGAAGACCCGCAGTGCGAGGATTTCGAGGATCAAGCTCCAGATCTCAAGCAAGGCAAGCCACCTTTGAACATCTTGAGCCTATATTTGAAATCTAATTATATTGCTTGCAAAATATTATGCATTGATAGGATTGCACTTAATCTGTTGTTCTGTCTGCAAGGCAGATTGGCAGACCTACCTAACTTGTTGCATTTGATCCTTCCATTGTTAATTGCTATACCATGTCCCCTTGTAACCATCCAGTTGCGCCTCGATATTCGTGCACCCTGTGCCAGTATCGACGGTCGCCTTCAAACTTAAAATCTGAGTAACAACTTGGGTAAAACTGGAGTTTTACAAAAGACTTGGAAAACCCGACACCTGGGTCGGTGCTTGCGAACTAAATGAATTTCCAAAATCGCGGACCGGGGAACGTAACGGGTGTACGGTTTCCCGCTCTCGCACTTAAGGACCGATTCCTTGGAATTTCATCCAAACATAAGACAAGTACGACCACATGGGTGGAATGGGACACCCCTGGCTGAGTAACTAGCTTATCAGGGGAGCCTTGATGCCGAGAGACATGTGGATTCACCGGGGTGGTGTCGGGGAGGACCCCTGGGCTTCCTGGCACAGTATGGTCTGGGACCTAACCTGTTGTTGGTCTGGGACCCCTCTCGTCGGCATATGGTAAACCTGTGTCGGCTTTGGAAATGCCTTGTCATGAAAGCTTGGAGGTCTCCCGACGTGGCTGATCCCCACGGGCTGGGTGATCCGGGTTAGTAATATCGTGTGGGTAAAGTGTACCCCCTCTGCAGAGGTTAACAAACTGTTCGAACAGCCGTGCCCACGGTCATGGGCGGATGTGAGGTGATTCCTAGCGTAGTTTGGTTTGACTACTGCTTGTGAAATTGCTGTGTGAAAAGGGGTTCGGTGTTTGAAAAATCTGCAGCTGATGGGATCAGCTAGGCCCGGGTGGCCGTTTGAAAAGTTGTTGGCCCGGGTGGCCGTTGAAAAAGCTGTTGGCCGGGTGCCAACCTTGTTTAAATTCTAAAGACTGATACATTGCACATACTCCGACCGGACGAGACGCACTGTCTCATCCGTGTCGTTTGAGAAGCACTCACTTAGTTGTTTCAGAAAAGAGTTCAAATAAAATTAATTGCAAAAACACCAGCCTTTCCTTGAAGCCTGCATTAAACACTTACTTCCCATGGCTTGCTGAGTACTCCCGTACTCACCCTTGCTCTATATAAATAATCCCCCCCCAGTTGCTGAAGAAGATGAAGCGGATCCTGCTGATGAGGAGTTCTTCCAGGAGCAAGCCGGCTACGATGAGTTTTAGGGTTTCGGCCTAGTTCCCAAGTCGCGCCTGTGTTGATTGGTCCAAGTCCTGGCTTCCGCTTTCCTTTTGTAATGCAGTTGTGAGCTCGGGATCTGTCCGCAGCCCAACATGACTGTACATCTACTCTATAATAAAGAGACCTCTGTTGCTGTGATATTCTGTCTCCCTGTGATACCAGCACTGTTTCCTGGGACTGGTATCGATTAACAGGTTAATTTGGAGCGTCACGGGCTAGTTCCGGTCAGGACTAGTTCGGGGCGTGACATGATCTTTGCTGGGTCGACCGATTTTCACAACAGTCCCGATTCTAATAGGAACCGGAACTAAAAATTATTTTTTAGTCCCGGTTAAATTTTTTTTGATCTTTAGTCCCGGTTCGTCCATGTCAAAGGTCTGTCAGGTGGCTAAGAATCTTTAGTCCCGGTTGGTGATTCCAACCGGGAGTAAAGATTACCACTTTAGTGCCGGTTGGTAATTCTAACCGAGAGTAAAGATTATTTAGATCTTTAGTCCTGGTTGGTAATACCAACCCCTCGTATATAATCCCTAAAATTTATCCTCAAATCCTCTAGCTTAAAGTCTTTCTTCCCATCTTCCTCTCCTCTCTCTCTTATCCTCTCTTATTTTCTTCTTATCCACTCTTTCCTTATCCTCTTTCCTTGCAGAGACAGAGCGAAGCGGCGGAGGTGGTCTGGCGTGGCGCGGGGGCGGCGCCCCGCGCGGTGGGGGAGGGAGGCGGGAGCGGGCGACGGCGGCGCCCCGCGCGGCGGTGGAGGGAGGCGGCGGCCCCGCGCAGTGACGGCACAGTGGTGGAGGCGGCAACGGACGGCGGAGGTGATGACTTTGTGATGATTTTGGGGATGATTTTGTGATGTAAATTTGCGGGTGATTTTTAGATGCTTTTTGAATTTGTTGATGATTTGTGATGTAAATTTGTGGATGATTTTTAGATGTTTCTATGAAGTTGCCGATGAATCTGTGATGTCAATTTGTGGATGATTTTGTCTGTGTGTATGATTTTTGTTGTTGAGTTTAGTGCAAAATAAATATGCAAGTAGCTAAAAACAATAAAAGAAAAAGGAAAGAGAAAGGGTCAGCCACATGGTGCTTTTATTTTTTTTCTCCCGGTTGGTGACTCCAACCGGGACTAAAGATCGTCATCTTTAGTCCCGGATTCTCTCTCCCGATTTGCAACCCGGGACTAAAGAGGGTTGTGAACCGAGAGAGATATGGGGTTCTCCAATAGTGTTTCCTTCATGTTCTTTTTAATTTATACCCATTTCGTTAGTTAATTTATATATGTCATGAACGTATTATTACTCTTATATTTATTTGCTAACTCACTGAGAAAAACACAATTCTTAACCTGAAAAAAGTTCATTTGTAAGAAAAAAAAGGGATAGAATTATTTGAAAAACTCAAATAAACTCATTTGTTTTAATAAATTTCACATCACATTACATGAAATTCATACATCATTTTCACCTAAATTTAAACCCAACTAGTGGGGTGGCCCGCGGAATTGCACGCTTACCACCTATATCGAATTATCTAATATTTTCTAAATAGTCAACTCATTATTTTAGAATTTAAAAAATTAAATCTCATCATCGTTGGGTTTTCAAATTTATAGTTTTAAAGACACACCAGCCACCATCCGTCACTTATTTGCCACTTTACTTGCTTGTTCGGCCCGCCACGGCTTCCATACAATCAGGTTTTATTTTAATGATTTTCTAAAGTCCTGTGAAACGCTGCCACCCTACTTTTAAAGGCCCACCCGCTACCAACTAGTTTTGGACCAGTTGGTCGCAACAATCAAGATTTGTTATATTTTTGTCCTTTTTGAAAACATATTTTACAAAGATCACTGAAAAAACTTAATCCTACGTAACAGCGCCGTCCCTCTACCACTGTGCAACCTAGAGATGACGTCAATGAAATTGGCACCATCGTCCCAATTAATAACATTGGTGTTGGAAACGGTGGAGGCAATGTTTGTTCATCCTACAATAATTACTACAACTTGAGAAAATGTTCGCATCAATAGTAATGAGAGTTTATCTAGCCATCAAACTAGGTGGACCAAATATTATCATATTAAAACAGTGGTCCATATTTATTCCATCTACTACCTTCATCCAAAATGTTGCTATCCAGTACTAAAAATCTGGATAGGCCTCTGTCAAGATTCGTAGAACTTAAGATATCCACTACTAGAGAAACGATCTTTGCTAGATTGACCCAAAATCACAATAGTTCCGGTTCCAAAAAGAACCGGGACTAAAAAAACCCACAGCTATTTTATGATTTTTAATCCCGATTGGTAACACCAACCAGGACTAAAAATCATTTTTAGTCCCGGTTCATTCCCTGTCAGTAGGATGTCAGGGGGCCGAGGATCTTTAATCCTGGTTGGTGTCACCAACCGGGACTAAAGATCATCTTTATAGTCCCGGTTGGTATTACTAACCGGGACTAAAGATCATATTGATCTTTAGTACAAGTTAGTAATACCAACTAAGACTAAAATTTAATACGTAGTATATAATCCCTCTTCCTTATCCTCTCCTCCACAATCGCAACAACATCTCACACGTACAGATCCCTTCCCCTTCCTCACACTTATCCTCTTCCTCACCTTCCTCAAACTTATCCTCTCCTCCTCCCCCTCCTCCCCTTCCTCCTCCCCCTCCTCCCTTCCCATCCGGCCGGCGGCCGGCAGGGTCGCAGCGGCGGGTGGTGGCAGCCGGCGGGGCCGTGCCCAGTGGCGGCCATGGCGGGCGGCGGCCGGCAGGCGGCCGGCGGGGCCGCGCCAGGCGGCGGCTGAAGGTGCCACGCGCGGCGGCGGCCGGCGGGGCCGCGCCCGGTGGCGGCCATGGCGGGCGGCGGCGGGCAGGCGGCCGGAGGTGCCGCGCGCGGCGGTGGCCGGCGGGGACGCTTCTGGCGGCGGCCGTGCCCTCTCGTCTGCCAGCCGACTTCTTCCTTTTCTTTTATTTTTTTTTGATAATTTGTGATTGATTGAGATATATAATTTTGTGATGGATCTGAGATGAATATGTGATGTATTTAATTTCGGTGTATTTTTTAGGATTTGTGATGTATTTGATTTGCTTGTATTTTTTTAGAATTGGTGATGTATTTGATTTGTGTGTATAAGGAACTTAAGATTTGGGATGTTACTTTGAATTGGAGATTTGGGGATATACATGGCACTAGATTCAGGAGAAAATATAGGGATTAACTCTAAGAAACAATAAAAAAAGGATCATCTACACTGCACTGCCGCTACCCTCTTTAGTCCCGATTGGTGAAGATCTATTTTTAGTCCCGGGTATTTGAACCGGGACTAAAGATAGCGATCTTTAGTCCTGGATTCGTACTCCCGGTTGGAAAACCGGGATTATAGGGGGTTACCAACCGGAAGTAAAAAGGCTTTCTCCACCAGTGATCCCATCTGCAGCAACATTTTGGGACGAAGGTATGAGGTAATACTCCCTCCGTCCCAAAATATGGATAGACTCTTTATCCATATTCGTAGTATTAGAATGTGTTATATTCACCCAAATCAATTATATTTTAGGATGGATGAAGTATTAATTTTGAGTTTTGTAAATATTAAATAAATATAAAATAAAGTTGAGACTCCATAATAAGGGTACAATTTGCCAATTCAGTACTTACTAGTTCCGAGAATTTCATAATTATTAAATCATGAAAAATGTTTATAGTGAGACTCCAAACAGAGCACAACTTTTCTCTCTATGTATTAACTCCAAATTAAGTTTTGGAATTATTTAATCATATGGAAAAACTAAAGCTGATCTGGTAAGTATTAGCATTTATTATACATATAATCCATTTTTGTATTTGTTAAATTTCAAATTTGTATAACTGTTAATAAAATTAAATTATGTAGTACTTTATTCCAGATATACGACAAACAAAGTTTACATAGTATAACTTTTCCAACAAAATTAAAGTACAAATGTAATAGAAATATAGCCTGTTCGAATGCATGCATGGGTTACGACTAATGATTATGCTGTTGGTTCAGGGAGGGAATTTGCTACACAAATAGTATTCGATACATGCATATATGCATGCATGTCCGTGCATCCATGTTTACTGAAGGAAGGCCTTCTTCTGGAGCCTGGCCTTGCGTTCCTCCGACAGCATCTTGGCGAAATTCTCCAGCTCCTCCTCGTTGGTGCCCCTGCTCATGTCGGGCTCGTTCTTGCCGGTCTCGAGGTTCACCTTGCACGCCCGCTTCTTGAGCAGCGCCTTGCCAACGTCGACGAGCCGGTTCAGGTTCTCCGGCGTGGAGACGTCGACGGACGCCGTGTCGCCGGTGAGCTCGTCGTCCTGGATGCGGAGGTAGCTCTTCTCGCAGTGCAGCGCCTGGAAGAGCACGGAGGCGTGGATGTCGACGAGGTCGGCGCTGGCCTGGCTGAAGCTGTCGATCAGCGGCGACGAGCCGTCGTGGTAGACCCAGTTGATCATCCCCCACTTGCCGGACTGAACGGCGTCGTACTTCTCCTCGATCTTGGCCGTGCCGGTGCCCAGCGACAGGATCATGAACTTGCCGTAGTCCGCCGGCTTGATCGGGAAGAAGTCGTCCTGTTTACCCAGCAGGATCTGCTTGCTTACGTGTGTCATCGCCAACAGCGTCTGCAAGTGCCAATTCATACATGTCAGACATGTAGACAGCTATATATATATTACCGCCATTAAGCACCTATTTGGGGAGTTTAAGATTCTGAGAAGCAGCTGCTGAAAAACTAGCTGGTGAGAATCTGAGAAGCTAGGAAATCCGGCTTCTGACTTCTAGTTCATTTTCCAGATTATACAAGTACAGAATCTGGGTAAAAAGCTGGCCTGTTTAGGGGAGCTTTTGGCAACTGGAGATTCTAGGAGAAGCTGCATGCAGCTGCTAAAAGCTCCCCAAATACGCCCTAAATAGGTATGGGCATGTTTTCTATTGTAAAGTTTAGTAATTTTCGATATCTCCGGTACCAAATTTACACTAGAAATTTTGCCTTTCTCAAAAAACCCGTAAAATTTCTCATATGTCAGAGTTGTACAACACAGCCATGCATGGTGCCTTAATTAGTTACCGGGTTGTTCGCGGCGACGCCGCCGTCGACGAGGTTGAATTCCCGGGGCTTGCCGTCCTTGTCCTTGGTCTGGAAGCGGTGGCCGGGGAGGTACGTCGGCGCCGCCGAGGTGCTGATGCACACGTCCGACAGGAGAGCGTTCTTGGACACATCGATCTGGGCCTGCATGCGATATATATATATGCATCGCATGTGTCAGTACATTGATATATCACTAATTAATATTTAAGTTATTGGACACGTTTAATTACGTCGAATCGGGAGAAGGTGATGGGCTGGAGGAGCTTGATGTCGAAGGTGGGGATGACGACGTTGGTGATCGTCTCATTAACTCGCTTATCGCCGAGCAGCGACTGCACCACCGAGTGCAGGTACTTGCCGTCGTACTTTGGCCCCGCCATGCTCTGGAACAATCCCACAATTGGAATGCTGCATCCACAGCAAGATGTTGATCTATGCAGGTTAAGATCATAGGAATGCATGCACGAATTAATTAAGCTGGTATTAATTGATTAATTTTTTATATAATCCAATCTGCACCTTCTGGGAGGGAAGATCTTGGGGCAGTGCTTGAGGTAGAAGTCGTTGATGTCCTTGGCGGCGAAGAGCGGGCGGCCCTGGTCGTTGGGCGCGGTGAGCATGGCGGTCACCAGCCCGCCGGTGCTCGTCCCGGCGATTACGTCGAAGTAGTCGGCGATCCTCGCGTCGGCGCCGTCTAGCTTCTGCAGCTTCTCCTCGAGGCTGGCGAGGATGGTGCCCGGGATGATGCCGCGGACGCCGCCGCCGTCGATGCTCAGCACGGTGACGATGCTCCCGTACGACGGCGGCGGCGACTTGGGCGTGCGGCACGGCGACGTCGTCGGCAGCTGCGCGCCGACGACGGCGCGCTGCACCACCGGGTTCACGGTCAGTGGCGCCGACCCGCTGCTCTGGTTCGTGGTTGGCGCCATTGATTCCAGCTCTAGCTAGCTAATTATATGCAATATAATGCAACGGTTAGCTAGCTAATTATGCTACCAAGTCCTCTGCTAAATTAACAAAGACGACTGCGAGAGAGATCGATCGATCGTTCACCTTTTCCTGCTAAAAAGGCAATCTCTCGTCTGGTCTGTTCGTCTTGCTCGATCTGATTGATAGCTTTGTGACGCGCTCGGGCCACGTATTTATAGTGGAGGATTAAAGAAAGAACGTACACGGCTTTTAATTTGTACGTAGCTTATACAGTTGCAGTTGAAGCGATCACTATAAAATTTGTCGTTTGCATGCGTCAGTTGCACCACCATTTCTGCTCCTAGGAATGGAACGGGTGATCGAAGAAAATTTTCACAAGTTGGAAGCGATCAAACCGGCAAGCTAACTAAGCACACGGTCAGCTGCTACACTTGGCGCCTACAGGGTTTTTTAATTTGTTTTCTGGCCTTCATGCATATGTTGCCCATTGCTGCTGCCTTGGCTTGCGTTAGCCGGACACATACGTGAACATCTGTACGTATAGGTGATTGTGCATGCCGTGCATGTGCGAATTAATGCAGACCTGTCAACTGTTGTTTCCTTGGTTAGGTACGTAGCTTTAGCCGCCAGTACAATATTAAATTAATTATAGTTATATAGGCGCATAACTGTAGAACAATATGTTGGTTGCAATATTAATTAATCTCTCGAGGTGTACGTGAAAATATACGCCCCCTTTTATATGTATCTTTTATATGTATGATGTGTGTCACAAAAAACTTGCAATGTCCGCAAGAGAGAGAGAGAGATAATAAGCTAGGTTAGAAGAAATAGGAAGAATTAAAGTACTTGTTGTCTGTCAACAACCTTTTCCATGCTAGTATGGTTTGTTTCATGAACATGGACTAGATCAGTCATGAGCATGTGGTTGACAGACAGCAAGTCATGGATTTTCCTTTTGCATATTCCGTGAAAGAAAAAAAGCAAGTCCTGATTTTGTGTCCCTCACATTTCAATTTTGTGGAGGAGAATGATGAATTTTTGTGGAAATGCATGCTATTTTGCCCCTTTGACCATTGATTTTTGTTCCAGAGATAGCGCAAAGTACCCTGAGGCCGTCTTGTTTAGATCCCAAAAAAATTTTGGCCAAAAACGTCATATTAAATATGGAAAAAAAATTATACAGATTGCATGTAAATTACGAGACGAATCTTTCGAGCCTAATTACGCCATGATTTGATAATGTGATGCTACAGTAAACATTTGTTAATAACGGATTAATTAGGCTTAATAAATTCGTCTCGCAGTTTACAGGCGGAATCTGTAATTTGTTTTGTTATTAGTCTACGTTTAATACTTCAAATGTGTGTCCGTATACTTCAAAAACTTTACACCAAAGAACTAAACACACCCAGAGTGTCTTGACGATATTTCTACATGTCGGAAGAAGAATGTCCAATTATGTTTTGATTTCTAAGAAAATCGGGTCTACAGTAATATCTTGCATGTAATTTAAATGCTACAAAAAATTTAAAAATTAACTACATATATCACAATGTCATATATATATCACTCTACAGTACAACATTCAATCTGTACACATTCCACGGAAGAAAAAACAAAAATTTAACTATTGAACATTACGTGTAGCGCCCGTTCCGTCGTGGCGCCTAGCGGGAAAATTAAATTCTAAAAACCCTAATTGCGAAATCTGTTTTTTTTTTGCCTGTTGTCAGTCTCCGTGTCAATCTCTGATCTCAAATCCCCGATATGTCGTCGAATTCAAATTCCGAATCCAAACCTCCCCGCAAAAGTCTAGTTTGCCTCCCTCAGGTGCGGTGGGCCGATTCCCTCTCGGCCCAACTCTCTCTCTCTCTCTCTCTCCCTCAGCTCTCCCCTCGCTCTGCCCGTGCGCCGCACGCGCCTGCGCGTGCGCGTGAGCCGACGACGAGCCGAGCTCCCCCTCTCTCTCTCCCCGCTCCATCCCTGGCAAGCTCCTCGCCGCGTTTTCGCAACCCCGCGCGCCGTTGCCGCGCTCGCGCGCGCTCGCGCGGTCGCCGCCCATGCCACGCCTGCGCCGCCCGTGCCGCGCCTGCGCCGCCCAGCCCCGCTGCCCTGCCGCGCCTGTGGCCGCGCTGTCGCTCGGCCCCGCGAGCCAGCGCACGTGCCCGAGCCGCGCCGCTCGCGTCTGTCCAAAACCCTGAGGCAGCGCCTCCCGCTCCCATCCCTCTCCTCCCCGAGTTGGCATGGCTCGAGCTCCCTTTCCACCCTCCGTTTCCCGCTTTCCTCTCTTGGCCCGGCCTCTGCTCTCCCTCCGCTCAGAGCTAGCGCCATGGCAGAGGGGCAGCCGCGCCGCGCCAGCCCGTCCTCTGCGCCGTTTGACCGCGCCCGTGATGCCCCGTTCCTTCCCCTCGAAGCTCCATCCCGCGCCCATAAAATCCGCCCTCCCCCTCTCGTTCGGTTCCCCTTCGCTCGCCCGAGTTCGCTCCAAGCCGCCGCGCCATTGTCGCCCTGCCCTGCTCGCCGCCGCCGCTCGTCGTCGCGCGTGTCGGAGGAGCCGGCACGAGCGAGGACGCGTGACGTGGACTCTGGGCGCACCGTCTCCCTCCTCTTCCCCGGCCCGAGGCCGGAGCGATCACGCCCCGCGCCATCGACCATCGTCACGGCGCCCCTTCACCCCGCACGGTAGTGCATCCTCCCCGTTCTCCCTCCTCGTTCCTCCCCTCCTCCTTAGCTTTCGGTAGAAGCTTGTATAGCCTCCCCGTAGCTAGCTGGCGCCGTCCCGACCGCTGCCACCGCTCGCTGTGTGCTCGCCGTCGTCGCCGCCCATGCTCGATAGCGCCCGCACGTCGCCGGCCTCTCTCGTAGTGTCTCCGTCTAATCCGACGCTACGAACGGACTCCGGTAGCCGCGTAGATGCTCTAGTCCGAAGGAATCGAACTCCCATCGCGCCGTCGCCGTTACCCTCTTTTCTCGCCGCCGGTTGCCGCCGCCAAAATCCGCCGCCGTCGAACTCCCTCCGGCGAATCCGAGCCGTTGGCTCGTCTCCCCTCGTCCCGTGCAACCTCCCGGTGTGCTCGCCTTCACCCGCATCGCCGTAGATCGCCCCGCCGCCGTCCGTTCCGGCCGGCGTCGTCGTCTTCCTCTCGCCGGCCCGCGTGGCTGCCACGAGGGCGCCACGTCGGCGCCACCTCAGCCGCGACCGGGTCAAGCTGACCCCGGTCCGCCGCTCCCCTCTGCCCCGCTCGCGCGCGCGGTCCATCGCGAACCGTGAGGCTGCACGTGGGCCCGCCGCATCTGCGTCCTCCGCGAGCAGCGCGCGTGCACCGCGCCCCCCCTCCGAACCCTAGCGCCGCGTTGCCCGCTCCCCGCTCGCGGTGAGCCGAGCCGCCGACAAGCAGGTCCCACTCGGGACCACGCGAGGTGGACCCGGCCCACCGGTTCCCCCTCCCTCTCCCCCCTCCCCCCGCGCGTGCCTTTGGGCCGCCTTCTCGGGCCGGCCGGCCCATTAGCTCGGCCAGGCCGCGCCCCTTCTCTCGGGCCGCGCCCTAGCCGCCCGAGGGAAGTCTATTCCCCCTCCCTCTTTCATTTCTTTTTCCAAAAGGGTTTAATTAAATCCTTTTCCTTTAGACAAAAATCCAATAATCTTATAAATTCAATATCTTCTCAACCGTGTGTCCGTTTGACTCTGTTCAAATTCAAAAAATCCTCAAATCTCGAGATCTATCTAATGGCACGCTTAGAGGTCAATAATAGGGCTTTATTTTCGCCGTTTGTTGAGTTGTCCCGTTTCACGTGTAGTTTCGGTGCCCGAAGACCCGCGGTGCGAGGATTTCGAGGATCAAGCTCAAGATCTCGAGCAAGGCAAGTCACCTTTGATCATCTTGCACCTATAATTTAAATCTAAGTATTTCTTTTCCGCAAATATTGCATGAATAGGTTTATCACACGTAATTTGGCCGTGGCTTGCGAGATAGCCTACCGGCCCCAATCCTAAATTGCTGCAATTACCCTGCGTGAATTATTGAATACTTAAAACTCCTTTGTCGACTGTTGTGCTTCGATGCACGGGCCTTCAGGCACGGGCATCGGAACACCTCCCCTCAAATTAAAACATCCAACGATGGGTAAAACTTGGGGTTTTACAAAAGACTTGGAAAACCCGACACCTGGGTCGGTGCTTGCGAACTAAAATGAATTTCCAAAATCGCGGACCAGAAGACGTACCGGGAGTACGGTTTCCCGCTCTTGCACTTAAGGACCGTTTCCTTGGAATTTCATCCGAACATATGACAAGTGCGACCACATGGGTGTAATGGGACGCCCATGTCTGAGTAATTAGCTAATCGGGGGGGGGCATGATGCCAAGAGACGTGGATTCAACGGGGTGGTGCCGGGGAGAACCCCCGGGTTTCCTGGCACAGTATGGTCTGGGACCTAACCTGGTGTTGGTCTGGGACCCCTCTCGTTGGCATATGGTGAACCTGTGTCAGCTTTCGAAATGCCTTGTCATGAAAGCCTCAAGGTCTCTAGATGTCACGCCCCGAACTAGTCCCGACCGGAACTAGCCCGTGACGCTCCAAATTAACCTGTTAATCGATACCAGTCCCAGGAAACAGTGCTGGTATCACAGGGAGACAGAGTATCATAGCAACAGAGGTCTCTTTATTATAGAGTAGAAGTACAGTCATGTTGGGCTGCGGACAGATCCCGAGCTCACAACTGCATTACAAAAGGAAAGCGGAAGCCAGGACTTGGACCAATCATCACAGGCGCGACTTGGGAACTAGGCCGAAACCCTAAAACTCATCGTAGCCGACTTGCTCCTGGAAGAACTCCTCGTCAGCAGGATCCACTTCATCTTCTTCAGCAACTGGGGGGGATTATTTATATAGAGAAAGGGTGAGTACGGGAGTACTCAGCAAGCCAGGGGAAATAAGTGTCTAATGCAGGCTTCAAGGAAAGGCTGTTGTTTTCGTAATTGATTTTGTTTGAACTCTTTTCTAAAAAGTCTAAGTGAGTGCTTCTCAAACGACACGGATGAGACAGTGCGTCTCGTCCGGTCGGAGTATGTGCAATGCATCAATCTTTAGAATTGAAACAAGATTGGCACCCGGCCAACAGCTTTTCAAACGGCCACCCGGGCCAACAACTTTTCAACGGCCACCCGGGCCTAGCTGATCCCG